ATAACAAAAAACAGCCATGGGGGGTTTACGCTGGATGACATTTTGATCCCAGAACATCAAAGGGAGATTCTCTGTTAGTGTCAGGAAGGATCAAAGAGGGATAGAGTTCAGGGTCAGTGGAAGAAACATCTTCATTTCTCTGTAGAAAGGGCTTTGCATCTTTGGCACAAGGAGGGAGAAAAGGAGTTTTCTGATTTCTGTCATTAAAGATGTTCAAGCTGAAAATGGGAACCACTATCTAGTCACGGTTGACCATCTCTCCTTTCTTTCACAAATCCACACGCACTGATCAGAATAGGCCTTATCTTGGTGTTCTGAGTCTGAATATTTGGCAGACAATTAGAGCTTGGTATTTTGATTTAAAAAACACTGATGACATTATGGCATTTAGCTTTCCTGATTTCTCATTTCCTGATTTGAGGCCAGGAAAAGCAAAGAAGTCTCTACCTGTAGGGAGGCCCTGCTGTTGATCCAGCTCTCCCTTTTCTTCCCCAGATACTCTGGAATTTGGGCTTCAACTGCAGAAAGGTAAATATGAGTTTTAAGAATCTCTGTCACTTGCTATTTTAAATTCTTATCCCCATAACCTTAATAGAAATAGAAGAGAATAACAAACAGGAAAATATAGTATCAGACACCTTAAAGCTACAAAGATCCAGTAAGGGTATTCCAGAAAACGATGTCAGCCTCAGTGTAGAAAGAAATATCTGGACAATGGGGAAAAAATTGGTACTGAAACGAGAATAGAATTCCTCTTGTTTCTGAGCAATAATGAATGCGAGAATCCTTCCAAGAGGAAAGAATCCCAAAGTGGTGGCCCCAATTTTTTCATCTTTGGCAGCCTTTGACTCCATTCCAGCTCCTCCTCATTGGTGGGTGTGATCGAGAAGAGGCTGCCATTGGTTGCCCTGAGCACCTTCTTGACTTTCCTCCAATAGTATGGCTGAGCTGTGCTGCTTCCTATCGCCCCAGAGCGGGATACCCTTTTCCTAAGACGCTTTGGTGCCAGAAGCAGAGCTGAGCCTTGTTCCTGCCAGCAGCTAGCAAGAAGGCAGAGCCAGACAGGGCTGTCCTGGATACTTTGCTGCTGAGGGTGGACCGTCAAAGGGGCTTTCCCTCCCATCCCACGAGAGCTGCCCTGTGGAGAGCTGGT